TGCTACCTGACAAAAAATAACTCTGCCTGAGTCCTTATTTTCAGTTTTTTTTTTTTTTTTTGGATAAAAAGTACATGGAAAGGACTGTCCTGGACCTTGGCCACCACCACCAATTGTTCATAAAGTATATTTTATATACACATATATAAAAACATATAGAAAACATCATAAATAGTATACATATATTCTTATTTTGATCTGGAACTCACTATGTAGACTCAACTAACTCTGAACACCTGCCTCTGTCTCCTGAGTGATAGAACTAAAAGCATGCATTACTACATCTGGCTTTTTTATTTTGGTTTTCTTGATGGTAACCAGTCTGACTGGTTACCATCAAGGAATCTCATAGAATTTTTAATTTGCATTATTCTAATAACTAGGAATGTTGAACATTTTAAAAAATATTTATTATCTGGCCATGGTGATATACACTTTTAATCCCAGAACTCCAGAGGTAGAGACAGGCGTATTAATCCCAGCACTCAGGAGGCAGAGCCAGGCGGAACTGTGAGTTCAAGGCCAGCCTGGTCTACAGAGTGAGTGTCATCAGGAGAGCCAGAGATACACAGAGAAACCTTATCTTGAAAAACCAAAACCAAACAAACAAAAGTCCCAAAAATATTTATTGGCTATTTGTATTTCCCTCCCCCCCCCCCTTTTTTTTTTTTTTTTTTTTTTGAGATAGGGTTTCTCTGTGTAGCCTGGCTGTCCTGGAACTCAATCTGTAGACCATGCTGGCCTCTAACTCACAGGTCTGCCTCTGCCTTTCAAGTTCTGGGATCAAATGAGTGTGCCACCCAGCTATATTTCTCCTTTTACGAACTATTCAGGTTTTTACCCTATTTTTTTTTTTTTTTTTTTTCCCTAAATTGGGTTGCTTGCTTGGAGTTTAGCTTTTAAGTTCTTTGTATATTCTAACATTGATCCTGTCAGATGTAACTGGCTGAATTCTACTCTGGTGTCTTTGCAAGATTAATGGTCTCCTTTGCTAGTTTCATTTCCTTTCCTCCTGCCCCTACACCTTGAAGCATCTTTCCACTTCCAGCTGTTTCAGAGGGTTCAGAGTTTACATTACCGTCCTTGATCTATTTAGAGTTCAGTTTTGTGCAGCACCAGATAAAGCTCTCACATCATTCTTCTACTCTTAGGTGTGCTGGTTAGATTTCAGTGTTAACTTGGCATGAGCTAGAATGACCTGAGAGGGAATTGCTATTGATTTATCTATCGCCTGGACCAGGTTGGCCCGTGTGCAAGTATGCAGGACTGGCCTGATTGCTAACTGATGTAGGTGGGCCCAGCCCACTGTGAGTTGCCCTATTACTAGGCAGGTGGTCTCAGGTCACAGAAGAGCCCGAGGTAGCTAAATATGAGACAGTAAATGCATTCCTCCAGTTTCTGCTTCAGCCCCTTCTTGAGTTCCTGACTTCTCAGTGATGGTCTGAAAGCTGGAAAAAACCCATTTCCTCTCCCCCTTGGGTCATGGTGTATGTCACAGCAACAGAAAGCAAACCAGAATGGCTGGTCCTCTTTTCTCTGTTATGTGTTTAGGAAGACACAGGGTTCCAGAGAAACATGAAATTGGATTGTTCTTCAGAGAAAAGGTTCAGATATAATTGTGCGATGGGAAGCAAAAAGCTTCAGTCTGCCTGGGATAACAGAACCTGTTCTTTTAAGGTCCTCTGAGGGAAAGGGAAGGGCAGGTGTTGTGCCACAGAAAGTAGGGCCAAGGTTGGGTGACATCATCTAATTAGGCTAAGATATTTTGTTTTCTGTATTTCTGGCTGAGGCAAGTGTTTGAAGGTCTCAAGTACATTTCAGGATAAAGGACATCAGGAAGAACAATGGGAACCTAGTTAGTATTTGATGTGACAGGTCACTTGTCCTGCCTATAGTTCTTCTGTTTATGGCTTTGCTATCTGAAAGGGACCATTGCCAGGGATGGGAGTGGAGCATAGAAGTACTTGGATGTTTGTGAAATTGGGGAGGGTCAACTTTTGCTGCAGCTGTGAGGGGAGTGAAACTGCACCGGAAGCGGCTGGGTTCTGACTTTCCCCAGGGTTTTGGCAACTTTGTCAATCACCAGGTGGTTGCAGCTGCAAATGTTTGTATCTGGATCTTCTGTTTCATTTACCCACGTTTTTGTTTCCCGTACTATGCTACTTTTATAACTTGAAATCAGATATGATCATACCTGGAACTAAATTATTTTCCTTTTAAAAAATACATCATTTAGTTTGACATGGTGACACACTCAACCTTATCCAAAGAAAACTCCAAATTTCCCAAACTCAAAAAAGCCTATCAAATATCCAGAAAATGGGCTCAACCTAGACTACAGAGGATTTCTGGCAGTTTAGATAAAAGCCAGCATTCCTCAGGGACTTGTGAAGCTGGTTCCTTTCTACCAAAAGGAGTTATTTCCTCTTACCTTTGACAAAAGGCTACCTGTGGTGTTTGTCTGCATATTAAAGTAGATGATGGCTTCCATCCTGGCCCTTCTCAACTCCTACCATACCCTAATCTTGCTCCACCTCAAGGTCTTCCCTCTCCCAGCTGCTCATTCTCTTTATAACCCTGCCATTCTGTTTTCTCTCTGCTCTATTCTTCCCTCTTGCAGACCCTGGTCTGGTCCAGTCTGTTGGCCATGTTCAATCTTTCTTCTCTGGACTCTTCCTGATGTCTATCGCTCTCTCTTATCAACAATAAGAATCTTCCCTCTAACCATACATGCTATTAATCCCAGCAACCAGGAGGCTACTATACAAAACCTAACAGGTTAAATGGTATATATGCATACAACCACCCCCAATAACACCTGTTGCAAAGATTGAATTAGTCTTTTACCTTGATGACAAAGAAAAATTAAATGTCTTCTCATAGGCCTTTTGTAAGGAACTACGTGGTATATTTGAAACAAGTAAAACAAAACTGAGGTGTTGTGTCAAAAAGTGGGAGGAAATGACCATTAAAATCTACTCCCGACAGTTTCAACAAGCACTGCCTAGTTAAGACCCTGAAAAGATGAAGAGGTACAAAGGTTAAATGTCAACTTAATGGGACTGGAATCAATAGATGTTTCTGTGTGGGTTTTGATTAAGTATTTTTTAAATCTCTGGTTGTGGGTTTCTCTGTCAATGCAGTAAGCCAAATTAAGACCAGGTTTAATAAAGAGCAAAGTAACTCCAGGGTAATGGGGGGGGGGGGAACAGGAGCAGAGATTCCTAATAAGTATAGGTGGGTATTTGCACAAAGGATTAACTGAGGGTGAAGACTCTCCCTGGAGAGAGCAGCCTTTCCAACAGTAACCCAGTGGTTTAAGGCAGGCTGGAGAAGAGGGAATCAGCGGTAAGCAACTCTGTGTTCCTCCACAGAACACGAGTTCAGTTCCTAGAGGTAGCTCAAAATTGCCTGTAACTCCAGAGGATACAAGGGCTCTGTCCCTCAAAAGTACTGGCACTCATGGTCCCTAGTTCCCATAATTAAAAATAAAATCTGAGGTCCAAGGAAAAAGTCAGTTGCTTCAGGCTAAGTCAGTCTATCCCTACAGCTACTGTCACACCCTAGCTTCTTGGGCCTACCAGTAAGTACTGAACTGACTCCCTTCCCCACCAGGCTGGGATGGCTGAGCTGAGCCTTCCAGCTTCATGAAGCTAAAGGCCTGTCCATTGTGCAGTTAATGTTGGAACTACCTAGCCCATACTGACTACAAATAAATATACATGCATATAAAAGTGTGGTGAAAAATGTCTGTGATCCCAGCATTTAAGCCTCACCTAGGATATGTGAGGTTATTTCAAAATAATAAACCAGAAGTACAGGCTGAAAGAGGACACTTGTTGAAGGAGAGCCCTAATCAAAGAGGCCCAGTCTCTAAAACAATGAAGGTGTTTCCACCCTCAATACAGAGCAAATCAGACAATGACAAAGTCATCACATAAAGGAATATAAAACTATTTATTGACCACTGTTCACCATTATTTACAATAAAGTAAATATACAGTTAGATGACATTCTGATACTACAAAGTTACTTTTCTGGCTCACTGAACCAGAGCCCAAATACTGAAAAGATTGATCCTACCAGTAAGGAATGAGTCAGGGTAAAGAAAAAGCATGCAAGTCATTAATTTATATTACCAAATTTTGTTCATTTATGTCAGTGGGTCTGAAATTGCCAACATCTTTTCTAACTGTATTACATTTCTACAGCAAACAGATATTCCATGAATCATAACCTTTTAGTAGATTTCAACTTTCTACAAAGGAATGGTTCACCAGAGGAACCTTTACATGCCCACTTACGTCTTTTTGTTTGGTTTTAAGAGACAGGGATTCTCTGTGTAGTCCAGGCTGACCTACTCAGAGATCCATCTGCCTTCAGAGTGCTGGGATTAAAGGCATGTACAACCACACCCAGCTTAAGTCATGTTATTATACCAAAACTTTGTCTAATTCCATTTTCTGAAGGGGAGTTTGTTAACGACAAGATTTTGTAAATAAATGACTGTATGTGATATTACATAAATTCTGATGCGCTTGCTGTAAAATTATCCAATAAATTATAGAATCACCTACTCATAATCTGAAAGGTTACGGTTTCGGAAAATGTTCACAATGATGGAGCCTCATCAACACATTTTCTTTCATCTATGGTTTTTGAGTATTAAAAAAACAAGAAAAAACAAAAAAGTATGTGTCTTATGCAATAACACACGAATACAAAGGAAAACAAACAAACAAACAAACAAACAAAAACAAACAAAAAAAAAAAAAAAAAAAAAAAAAACCAAACCCCAGAATGGTCCTTCTATGTCTTAGTTAAAAATAAGTTCTGGTTGACTACTGACTGTAAGATCTCCCCAGCGTTTAAGAAAAGCTGTTCTTCAAAGCTGAGGAAATACAACATGGTATCAAATATTCTATTGTGAAAGGAAGCAACTACAGAAAGCTTTTATTTGCCCAAAGGAATCAGTGTCTTTTGACGCAGAACAAAAACCAAAAATATCCCAACTACTATCAATACTTTCAAAACCAGCATATCAAACTCGATTTTCATTAGAACGCTATTTTTCTACACTAGTAATTCAAAACCCAAGATTCAGATTTTATATATATATAAATATATATAAAAATGCAAACAATTATTGCGCCTCATCTTCTGGACAAGAATGCCAAGTCAGCCTCTCCTCATAAAAGGCAATGACAATCTGAGGACACTTCATATTTGCCTCCTTTGCCAGCACCAAGTCTGCCTCATCCGAGTCCTTCCTGTTGTGAAGGGATAAAAAGAAAAAAAAAAAGTTATAAACTGCGTGGTCATCTGGGCTCTATTCAATAAATAGTTGAATAAAAATAAATGTTAGTGCTATTAGGGGTTGCATGATAGTATGGTTACATTTTAATACACTTTTCAAAAGAGGCTATGCATTTGTTTCTTAACCTTCACTTATGGCATGCGTGTACACACACAGCTAAAAACAAACAAAAAACCCACCCTAAAACAATTACCCCTGCACTTACCATTTCATGAGAAACATTAATTCTCCACTGCTGTCCGTGGCACCAATTATTCGTTCAGGATCAAGACCTCTGGCAAAACCCCTTGGTTTGTCAGCCTGTTCAGAGGTTAAGTAATAGCCTGCATAAATATTTCCACACAACAAATAGAGAATTCTTTATGAACTACAACTTTATCATTTACACCCACAGTGGGATAGGAACAACTAGAATAAGAACCTAAGTTACAGCAAAAAAAGAAAAAGAGAGAGAGAACCCAAGTTAGATAGGAAAACATACTTGGAGCTGGGATTGTAGTTATAGTTTATCGGCAGTGTTTGCCTACTATGCAAGAAATCCTGGGCTTGCTTGGTCCAGCACTTGGTAGCTGGAGGCAGGAGGATCAAGAGTTAAGATAGGCCTGGGCTACTAGACAAGACCTTTTCTTAAAAAATAAGATAAAATTAAAGTCTTACTATGTAGCTTAGATTAGTCCCAAACTTTCAATCCTCCTGTTTCAATTTCTTGACTATAAAACTACAAGTATGTAGCAACATACTGAGAAAAGTATACACTCTAGAAATTAAATTGTAAATGCTTACAAAGCTAGCACTTTAGAGGTAGAGGCATAGTAAGTTCAAGGCTGGCCTGGGCTAGTTAAATTTGTTCAAGAACCATCCCCCTAATGAAAAACAAAAACAATATATAGCCACTTATAGTAGCACAAGCCTATAATCTCAGTATTAAGGAAGAGCATAAATTCTAAGTGCACCCTGCGCTACATAACAAGATCATGGCCTAAAATATATACATATAAGAAACTGCCAAAGAGCTAGAGAAATGGCTCAGTGGTTAAGAGTGTTTCATCTTGTAGAGAACCTGGGCTCAGTTCCTGGCACCCACATGATGCCTCACCACCACCTCAATCATCAGTTCTAGGGGACTCAACTTCCTCTGCTAACATCTGTGGTAACTTCACACATGTGGTGCATATACACATTTGAGTATTAACATTTCTAATGTAATGTTAGTTTTTATTGCTGGGCACTATAATGCAAACTTTTAATCCCAGCACTTGGGGGGGGGGGCAGAAGTAGGTGGACCTCTGAGTTTAAGACCAGCCTGGCCCACACAGTAAGTTCTAGGACAGCCCTGGTATGTAGAGACCCTGCCTCAAAGCAGCAACAACCACAACCACCACCAAACAAAAAATAACAAATTAGTTATCAAGCCTATCTCAAAACAACAGTAAAACCCAATGAACTCATTTTTAGAAATTCAGTATAAATTATTTGCTTATTTTAACACACACACACACACACACACACACACACACACACACGAACAATTTGTAAGGTCTCCTATTGAGCTATCTGATTTGGGATTGTTTTTACTTACACACTTCTTTTTAAATATAATCACAGCAAGCCAAAACTGGTGGCATGAAGCCCTGGAATTGATCCAGCACTTAGATTCAAGGTCAGCCTGGGCTATATAAGACTGTCTCATCTTATTTTGGAGACAAGGTCTCAGAAGCCTGAACTAACTTCAAAGTCTTGAAGCAATTCTATTACTTTAGTCCCTCAGGTGCTAGGATTGTGGGTATGAACTGTCACGCCCAGTCCTGTCTTTTAGACACCAAAAGACTTTTCCACAACATGGTATTTATTCATATGCATGCTTGTATGTAATTTCGCTATGTAGCTGATGACCTTGAATTTACTTCTCAAGTGTTTCGATTACAGGTGAATGCCACCATGCCCAGTTTCCAATCAGTTCTGGTCTTAAACCATTATTCTTGTTTAGTTTTTTTTTTCTTTTGGTATTGTTATTTTTAAAAATTTTATGTATTTTTCTGTGTACCTGAAGTATGGCTTTGAATCTCCTGGAGCTACAGTTACAGGCAATTCTGAGCACCCACATAGGTGCTAGGAACTGAACTTAGGGGTTTCTACTAGAGTACTGTGCTCTTTAATTACCAGTATTTTAAAACTGTTATTCTTAAAAAAAAAAAAAAAAAGAAAAGATTTATGCACTTGAGTGTATTACTCTTCATGTATGACTGTATGTATAATGAATGTCATGTGTGTGCCTGGTGCCATGGAAGTCAGAAGAGGGTGTTGGATCTACTGGAATTGGAGTTACAGATTGTTGTTAGCCACCAAGTGGATCCTCTGGAAGAACAGCAAGTGCCCTTAACCATTGAGCCAGTTCTCCAGCCCGAAAATGGTCTGGGAGAGATCTGCCTGCCTCTACTTCCCTAGTACTAGAGAAACTAAAGCCATGCTTCTAGCTGGCTGCTTTTCCATTTCTAAAGCAAAACAAATGTTGGTAATTGTAGCCTACTAACTTTGGAGTGTATTTAAGAACCGATGATATCAGTACATTAAAATTATTTAAGTTTCATGTTGATGTAAGGAGTCTCTGGAGTCAGACTGGGTTAGAAAACAACTCTATCTCTTTGAAGGTTCGTGAGTTTGTGTAAGTTAATCATCTATGAAAAACAATTAGTCCCTACATTATAGGTTTATGATTTAAGCTGTCTAGAACACTGCTAGTTCAATATAGCTTAGTCATTACTACCGAACTTCTGCTTCCCCTATGTATATGCTGTAATCTTGTTTTCTCATCTACACAACTGGGTCACTATCTAGACTTAACAGGGCTGGTAATAGGGTTAATGACCTATATGCAAAATTCTTGATACCTAGTACAAATGACTGCATTTAAGTCCATAGCCCTTTATAATTTAATGTCTGCTGCCATGCTTGGAGACCAAGGCTAATCCAGCATCAAGATTTTTCCTTTAATTATCACACTAGGTCAATAGACAGGGTAAATTCAATCTGTTTTTAAAGGTAAGGGTAGAAGTTACATTATTTGTGCCAGGAATGGTACTATGAAGTTTCTTTAATTGGAGTTTAAAAAATATTCTAGAGTTGGAGCAGTTAGAAGCATTTGCTACTCTTTCAGTCCCAAGGGTTTGAGACACTCTTCCGAGAACACCAAGAATGTACGCACACACACCCACCTACCCACACCCATCCAAACATGTGGAGGATAAAAAGGATTCTAGTTTTAGCTGAGCATGGCGGTGCATGTTTTTAATTGTAGTACTCAGGAGACAAAGGCAGGCAGGTTTCTATGACTCCAAAGCCAAGCAGGACTACACGGTGAACCCCTGTCTAAAAATCACCTAACCTATTCTAGTTTTAAGCAGGCACTGTGGTGAACACTTGTAATTACAATGTCAGCTCAGAGGTAAAGGATGAGTGGTTTAAAGCCATTCTCTGTTACATGAGATTCTGCATCTAACCCAACCCTCAAATGTAAACTAACCAGAAAGGGGAGGGGATAGGGAAACAAATTACCACAAAGTATAATAATAACTATGTATGAAAATCCCATAACAAAAACCATCACTTTGGAAGCTAATTTAAAAAAAATAAAATAAATATGAACTAAGTAAAAAATATTCCAGCTGGGGGGAAAAAAGATTCAAAGTAATTAAAATTCAAGCCATTAACTTTTGATAAGACCCAGCCTAATGGGTAATACTTTATACTTACAGCATCTCTCTTCTTCTTTGATTTGCTATCATCAGATTCACTGTCAGATAAAGATTTCCTTTTTGTACCATCTTTTTCTTTACCAGCTTTTTGAGAATTAAGAAATGCTTCAATTAACTCTGGACAATCTAAATTTTCTTCTGGTTCCCAAGTATTATCAGCACTGTGTTCAGTTAAAGAAAACAAAAAGTTGATTCAATTAAACATTGCCATTACCTGGACCTGCTCACAGCTATCTGGAAAAAAAAAAGTTCCTATATGACAAACACTGATTATGGTAGAATAATACTAGAAAGAAATGCTTTTCTAGTCCCTCTATTATCTAAAAATGTCTAGTTTCCTTTCACACCCCTCTCCACATCCCTAAGTGAGCTATACTATGGTATTTTAACCTCAAAGGCAGTTGAACCTGACTTCCAGGACAATCAATACTAGTATTTTTCTGCTCCATATATAACTCACTTCATGTAACCGTAGGTGGCCTCAAAACTTCATTCTCCTGTTCCCACCTCCCAAAGTACTGGAATAAAGTGCATTCTATCACTGCTGCTAGGGATCAAACCCAAGGCTTTGTGCATGCCAGGCAAGCACTCTACAATTGACTTACATCCCAACCCCTTGAGTTTTCAAAAATGACTTTTTTAAGGGGGAGAGGAACAGGGTATTATGTACCACTGACTGTGAAGAACTCTCAATGCTGGGATTATAGAAGAATTTTTAAAAACAGTGATTCCCAATTCCTTATTTATGCTTAGGTTTGGGATCTCCAGCGATGCTTGGAAATAAAGATTCTGACATCCTCGAATGTGAAATGTTTTCAATTTTTTGGTGGGCTTCAATTTGGGAAAATGATATACAACAAAGGTTGGGGAGGAAAAAAAAAAAGACTGTTGTATGGTTCATAAAGTATCAAAACAACCCCTCCCCTTTAAAAAAGATACACTATTACTATGTAGCCTAGGAACTCCTAATCTTGCCCCAGCTTTCATAGCTGGAAGTACATACAGTACTATATCACCATGTCCAGCTCAAATTTTTCCTTAAGGAAAAAAAAAAAAAAAAGAAAAAAATTAAGGCTGGGAAGAAATGAAAATAAATTAATTTCAGGCAAGGTTTGTAAGTTATCATCAGAACAGTCATGCCCATTTAATGTATTAGTTACTGTTGTTTTTATGCTGCTCATGCAGACAAACCAATGGCCCATAAAACCTAAAACAGCCACATAGATGCTTTGGGAGAAGAGACTGCCAATTCCTGCCTTAGCACAAAGCCAAAGTAACCAGTCCCTTGTGTCTTTCAGAAGAGCTGTGACGTGAGTACCACCTCACAAATATAGAAGTATGGAGAAGTATGGTCACCCCGTACCAATGGATAGACTTTTGTGTTCTGGCCACAAATATCTTTATAGAGCTAGATGGAATGATTTCAGTGATACCAGGTGCCACTAACATCTGGAACTAATAACTTGGCCTGCTGAGACTGTAACATGGGCAAAGCTTAATTTTGGGAGGAGGGCTGATGTCTCAAATTTAGCATTATCTTCAGTATTGTCTTCTAAACTATAAATACATTATCCTGTAAATGTTAGGCTCTTGGTTATAAATATTTAAATTAGTACAAAGTTTAATACAGTGTTAAATAAAATGTGTCAGTGAAAGAACACATTAGGATGTGAAAGATGCAAAGAGACTGGGGTAGGAGGTGGGAGAGATTGAGAGGGAACGAGAATCCATTACAACATGTATTATATGTTCTTTGCATGCTAGTTAAAAAATTATGCTCTAGTGAGCTTTAATTTTCTGTTTGGTTTGATAGCCATACATTAAACTCTAATATTAGGTTTCAACTGTTACTATATTTAATTTTTGTGTGTCTGTCCGTCGTCGTCCCCCCCCCCCCCCCCCGGCACATATGTGTGCATGTGCACCATACGTGTGGCTGGTGCTTGGAGACATCAGAAAGTAGCACTGTATACCCTGGGATTTGAGTTATGGATAATATAGGAGGTACCATGTGGTGCCAGGCAATGAACCCTGGTCCTTTGTAAGAACAAATGCTCTTAATCATTGACTCACCTCTTCAGACCCCCTAAGCCTTAAATAAAACACAAACAAGAAAATTCTGGAACTAAAACTAACTTCAAACAGATCTTTGGGCAAACTGGTAAAATATTTAAGCTAAAATTGAAGTATTTTCTAAGTATAATTACAGGTACTAAAGTAAGGGTGTACTTGATAAAGAGTGCTGGCCCAGCATGCATGAAAACCTGGATTCACCCTTTAGGTTCACTTAAACCAGATGTGTTGTTTCATGCCTGTTCACGGGGGGAGGCAGAACCAGAAAGATCAGAGTTTAAGGTTATTCTTGGCCATATAGCAAGTTCAAGAACAGCTTGGTAATCATGAGACCCTGTCTCAACAGAACAAAAAAATAAGTACATAAATAAGGCATGGTGAACACCTATAATCCCAGCACTTGGTAGAAGGAAAGAGTGCAGGGCTAGTCTGTGCTACATGAAATAACCTGGCTTAAAACAAAAACCATAAGAAGTTTCTTACTCTGTGAACCCCTTCCACTTGAGGAAATACTCCACCTTCCCATTCACTACACGCCGGTCCAGTACTTTTTCTACAACAAATTCTTCAGGCTCTGCCTCTTCAACTTTTTTACTCTTTCCATTCTGTTTCTTTCCCATTTTTTGCTAAAACAAAAGAGAAATTAAGAAAATTAAAAAAACCTTGAGTACATCTTATGGCCAAATTGTTTATTCATCTGACACAATTTTTTACTTTTTGGAAAAAATAAAAACCAACAGCAACAAAAACAACACCCCCTTTAAACTTCTGTGACCCAGGGCAGATACCACCCCCCCCAAAAGTCAGTAGACAATAAAACAAAAGCTTTGCTCCACTGATTTATACTTCACCATACCCTTCACCATAATGGCAGAATTAAAAAACAACATAAAAAAATTTGAGAAATAACCTTATCCTTTCCAGTTTTATTTCCAGCATTCTACAAGATCGACACTCAATTTTAATCTCAACATAGTGACAAATAAAAAACACTAGACAATGACAGAGAATGAAGTATTAGTAGTTGTGGTTTAAATGAAAATGGTTCTACAGGCTCATTTATTTGAATGGTTGGTCCCCAGGTAGTGGAACTGTTTGAGGATCCTGTGGCCTTGTTGGAGGAGGTATGTGGGGTGGGGAGGGCATATCATGCAGGCTTTGGAGGTCTCAAAAGCCAATGCTATTCCCATTTACATCACTCTTTCTGCCTTGTGTTTCTAGATCAAACTCAAGAGTCTCAGTTACCATGCCTGCTGCAGATGGTCATGGACTCATCCTCTTAAAACTGTAAACCTCAATAAACTCTTCTGTAAATGGCCTTGGGTCATGGTGTCTTATCACAGCAATAAAGACCAACGAAAAATGAAGCATGATAGTAAAAAAGAAAACAAACACATGGTCACATATAGTTCAGGGTAGCCTCCAGTTCACTATGTAGCCAAGGAAGACCCTAAATCCCAATCCTTCAGCTTCTACAACCCAAGTACTGGATTTATAGGTATGTACCACCACACCCCACTAAATTATAGGTCCTATTAAGTGTAGCAGAGTAGACCTATTATTAAAATTGCAGCTCTAAGACATCCCTTTCCCAATGAAATTTAAAATTTCCCAAAAATAAAAACTGCAAAATGAAAGTTCTATTCTCAACTTAATCTCAACCATGAATAAACTAAAAAGAACGAGAGTCTTTCCCCATAATTGAATGTAGAAAATTTTCCTGACCACTCAAATCTAATACTAACACCATAGGAGTCTAAAATGGTATTTTTTTTTTTTCTCTCTTTAAGTGGGAGGAAAATTACTTCCTGGGTTTCAACCTAGAATCTTAAGTGGTAGCTGACTAATTTACTCTGAAGAGGGGCATGAGGGGGACATGATGAGCTTACTAGCAAGCACTCAGAGTTGAAACAGGCTGATTACCATGGGGGTCCAGGGTCAACCTGAGATATGGACGAAAACCATGTCACCAAAACAAAACCCAACAAAAAACAAAACCCAACATCTTTTCTTTCCGGGGGTGGGATGGGTATAATACCAATCATGAGTGTTTTCTCAGCACATAAGCAGCCTTGTAAAAGGAGTGAAACTAAGTGTTTAAAACCTTGAGATGGTTCAGTACAAGTCCTTGTGGAGCACCACAAAACTCCAACACAGTATGCTCAATCATTTCATCTCCACAATGGTGCTGTTTGTTAATTCTTTAAAAATTTGAGATAGTAGCCCAGTCTAGTCTTTAACTTGCTGTGATCCTCTTGACTCAGCCTCTCCCAGTGCTACTAGCTTATAGTGTGCACAGGTGCTACCTAAAAAATGAAATCAACCAAACCAAACCACAACAACAAAACCCCTGAAATTGCCTAGTCACTAAAACCATCTACCAAATGAAGGATGGGGGGGGGGCAACAGCACCCCAAGACCACCAAGATATTTAATTCTATTAGCATATAGGGGCATACCCACACAAACACCCTGTGAATTTCCCAGATGAGTAAGGCCTTTTGTTTCCAGACAGGGTTTCTATGTGAAAACAGTCTTGGCTGGCCTCCAACTCATGGAGATCTACCTGTCTCTGCCTAGCGATTAAAGGCAAGTAGCGAAACACAGAGCCCATGACTCGGGCTTTTTATCACTAGGGCTTTAACCTCTATTTTGGTTATGTATCAAGAGTGACCAGATAGGCTTCAGATAGCAGATTGTAGTTGATTCTTCAGAGCATTAAAAGTCATGTACAATATAATGACAGCACAAATTAAAAATCATCTTGCCCTTTTTGGTGAGAAACTGAAGAAACTATATAGATCAAAATCAAGTTTTGTTTTACTTAGGTGCTAATACCTGCCTCCATATGTTTGTGATCAATGCATTAGAATATAGGAATTGTGATAGTAAATTTCTTTTTTTTTTTTTTTACAAGTATCTATAATTCAGAGTTTTGCCATACAGCTCTGACTAACCTAGTATTTTAGAGTCTCAAACTCACAGCAACCTGCTTGCTTCAGATTCTCAACATGCTGGGATTACAAACATACACCATCAGAACCAGAGTAGCCTCCCCCTCCAGGGTTTCTGTGTAACTGCCTTGACTATCTTGGAACTCACTCTGTAGACCAGGCTGGCCTCCAACTCAGAGATCTGCCTGCCTCTACCTCTGGAATTAAAGGCTTGTGCCACTACTGTCCAGCTGACCCAGCTTTAATCTTATGGTTTTTTTTTAACTATAACTTGACAAAAATAAACAAATGTCTTTATAAATTTGTCTAACTTGCGGTAAAACCCAAGAATACAAACAATGGGTTTAGCAATAGTCAGGAAATTGCTCAAAGATACAGAATTGATCTACTGTTCTTTCATTCCTAGACACAGTTTGTAATTCTTGATCATGGCATTACAATGCAGTGGTTACATTTGATTCACTCTGTGCAGCGTCTTTTGTAAAATTCTGCATTAATGAAGACTTAGTGTCTTGAAAACTCAGCACAGATTTAAGGTGATCATACCAATCAACTAAGACTTTTAGAGATTTCCCCATGTAGCACCCCCCCCCCAATTAAGTTCATTAAAAATGTTACCATGGGGTAGTAAGAAGCACCTGAATGGAGATCAGGGAACAATCTTGTAGAGTCTTTTCTCTCCCCTTCTACCTCTCCTTGGGTGGAGGACTGAGCCATCTTACCAGCCCCAAATATGCATTTTTATCTCAAAAGAAGAACATAAAGCTAAAGTTGTACTACATATTCCCAAGGTTGGGTTTTAAAAGATACATTGTGACCCTCCTTAAGGAAAGCCAGTAAAAATATTTCAAAATTAACTCAGTTTTTCTTCAGAGTGCTGGGAAGTGCATGGATGTAAATGGCTGGACTTCAAACTCAAAGCAATTCACCTGCTCCTGCTTAAAGTCATGCACAATGATGTCCTGCTTTTTTGCGTGGAAACAGGGTTTCTCTGTGTAGACTTGGCTGTCCTGGAACTCTCTAGATCCACCTGCCTCTGCTTTTAGTGTTCTAAGATTAAAGGCGTGCACCACCACCTTACAGGCTTTTTAGTTGTAATTTTTAAAGAACAAAGAATTCTTCAGTTAAGATTCTTACATTTCTGGGGGTTTCACAAACTTACCAATGTAGTTTTATTGGAGGCCATTTTTTTTTTTTTAAATCGAAGACTTGAAGAGCTATTACAAGAAAAAAATGCATGACAGTTAAATTTTCATGACACACAAGGCAAATACGAGTTTTGTGTGGATTTCAGTCTGCATACTTTACACAAAAAACGCAGGGAAACAGCTCTCGGTTTCTGTAACATTAGTGTTACATACTTGAGTACATTAGTGCTTTACTGAAGTTAGTAATGATAACCTTACGATGCACACTGGCACCTCAGACAACTTTATTTGGTGATAATCTTATTTGTAACAAATGCAATGTTTATTTTGTATAAAAGGCAATCTTCTGTTTCAAAATCGGGCATCATCACTTAATTCTTATCCTAAGATTTTTTTTTTCTTCTAGATTTGTGCATAGTCGCAGGAGCTCCTATAATTCCAACCTGACTTCTTCAGAAGCCCTCCTCATCAATCACGAAAACGAAAACAGTTAAGACGTCTCAGTCCTATTTCCTGGCCTTTTTCTTTTTTCTTTCTTTTTATCAGGGGGGAGTATGGGCTTCCACCCAGGCAATACTCCTGCCTCAAGCCCGCTAAGTACTGATCCAGCTGGAAGGAATTGCCCTCCTCCGTTTCAGCTGGAAGGAATTGCCCTCCTCCGTTCGCGCTACCCTTCCCTCCTCCACAGGCCAAGGCCGGGAGCCCGCTCCCCCCCCACACACACTCGGGAGCGCGGGCCTCGTGGTCAGCGCCTCCGCGGGGAGAAACAAAGGCGGCGGCGGGGGCTCAAGGGCACTGCGCCACCAGCCCCCGCCTCCCCCTCCGGCGGCGGCCACGTAGCTGGGAGCGCGCCGCAGCTCGGGGCCTCGGGCCTCGCGGCGGCAAAGCCGCTAACGCTCTGCGTGCGGGCCCGCGGCGCGGCTGGGGGAGGGGAGCCCCGCGCTTTGTCTGGAGTCCCCGCAGCTGTCATCGCTCTCCCTCCCTCTCCGCACCACTGTACAATGTCCCCCGTGCAGCGGCGCGGCGCGGCGCGGCGGCCCGGCCCCGCCAGCCTCCCCGCAGCACTGGGCCCACGGCGGAGCGCGGGGCCCGCAGCCTCCCCGCCAAGTCCGGGCGCCTAGAGCATCCTAACCCCCCCCCGCCACGCGCGACATAGGAAGCAAAGCCACCGACTTGACCGCTCAGACGCTCCGGGCCGCCGATCCTGCAGAGTCTCCCGGCTGCGCGCCTCAGCTCAGCCACATCCGAGGGGAGGGGGCGCGGGCAGCTCGGCCGTGGGGGAGGGGAGGCGCCGCCCACGCCCAGGCCGCGCGGAGCCCGCCGGGAACGCGTCCTGCGGGGGGCGGCGTGCGCGCCACTCACCGTCCGCGGCGTGGCGCCTCGGGGGTCTCCTGAGGGGAGGCAGGAAGGGCCGCGCAGGCCGCGGTGCGTCGCCCAGCGCGCCAAAGCCGGGCTCCGCCCACCTCCTCGCCCCGGGCCTCGGGGCTGGGCCGCGCAGTGGCGGGGTTCGCTAAGCACCACCTCTCACGGGGCGCGGGCTCCCGAGGCCTTTGGCCTCGTGTGCGGCCCTCGGACTACACGTCCTCCGGGGAGGGACCGGGACCCCTTGGGACGGGTACAAAGATTAGCGTGGCTCGAGAGCCCGGCCCGAGGATTGGCGAAGGCGTAGCTGCAGGGAGTGCGCCCGGGTGGCGAGGGCCTCACGCCTGAGCGGCGGCGTAAGCCCCGCCCACCAGCGTTAATTTCAAACTGCGCGACCGTTTCTCGGCTGCTTGCGCGGAGGTGGGGGCCGGACCTAATTCCTGGCGTAGTGATACGCTGGGCGCGAGCCTTCCGCAATTCACAGACCCCAGTTGCGCAAGGGACGTAACGCGGTCTCGCGGTCCTTGAAGGGGGAGGGCGCACGCAGTTGGCGTAACGGGAGTCTAGGCCCTTCCCGCCATTGGCGGCGGTTAGGACGTTTACGTAACGGCCTGACGTAAGCGGAGACGCGTTAGTGGGGGGAAGGTTCTAGAAAAGCGGCGGTCCCGGCTCCAGCGGCAGAAGCAGCGGCGCCGGGTCCTGTGTGCAGGTGTTCCCAGCGGCGCAGTTTCCTGAGCAGCGGCTGCTCGCACCACAGCGTCAGGACGAGTCCCGTGCGTGTGCGTCCGCGGAGGTCATTCTCTTCTCGCTCGGCTGCGGGAAATCGGGCTGAAGCGACTGAGTCCGCGATGGAGGTAACGGGTTTGAAATCAATGAGTTATTGGAAAGGGCATGGCGGGCCGAAGGCCCCGCAGTGGAGGCCGGCCACCGCCTCGGCCGGCCGGCGGGCGGGCGGGCGGAGGGAGGGGAAGCGGCCGCCCGGGCGGCGGTTGGCCCCGGGGAGTCTCCGAGGTGTCGTTGGCGGAGGCCCGATTGTCCGAACGCCTTCCCCGCCCTCAGCCGCCCGGCGCCATTTCCCCGAGCCGGGGTGGGGGATGGGGCCGGGCCGCGGCGAGGCGGCTCGGCCGCTGAAGGAGCGCGGGAGCGGGCCGCCGTCGACCCTTCTCGAAGGGCGCGGGCCCGGGGGCCGGGGTGTGTTGGCGGCGTGGCGTCTCGGCGGCCGCCGGGTGCCCGGAGCCTCCGGCTCTGCGGGGGCCTCCCCTCCCCCACCCTCCCGGGAACCGGATTTGGCGGCCGCCATTTTCCCGTCTCCTTCCTCGCAGCGATTTTTGCGTCCAGCACTTTTCAGATCTACTAGTTGGGGCCCTTTTCCACCGCGTGGGAGGGATTGGTTAGTTTCCTTTGTCTTCGGCACGCTTCCGTGTCGTCTCGAGGTGGATTGCGAGCGCCTGGAGCTCGGGTTTCAGGGTCCTGCGCAGCTCGTTGAAGGCGCTCTGCCTTGATGAAATGGCGCCATTGCGTTCCGGAGGCACACGGCGGAGCGGGGTGGGGGGTGGCGCCCCACAAGGTTTCCTGGCACAGGCCGAGAGAACGTAGTACAACCAAGGCCTGAGCCTGTTGCTGAAGGCAGCCTTGCTGCAGAGGAACCATTTTTCTTTTTCCAGCTGCCTCGTAAGTCCTTTAAGGGATTTATGAGCCTGCAATTTGTAAAGGAAGTTCAGAGTGCTCGGTGTAGTTAGGCTATCTTGGGCGGAGGGATATTAATTTTTTTTTATTGCAGCGCATGTTTGCTTTCATGACTGATCCTAATATTTGAATTAATTCACATTATGAGCATTTTAAAGGAAAGCTAAGGGTTCGTTGCTTAAACAACAGATCCTTGCACGTGATGGTCACATTAGGGAAGCGAAATAACTGCGTTTTCTCGTAGTACGCCTTTGCTTACAGCATGGATCAGGCATCATAAACCCATGAGCCCAGCTACATAAAAACTTATTTGGGCCACAATGTATTTGGACTTTGTCGCTTGCTTTTCTGATTTTTTTTGTTTACAATCATGGTTGATTATTACATTGATAAGCATAAGGTTTGAAATTGAAGGGGGTCTACTTAACAATATTTGGCCCCAAGCTCGTTTATAAAATAACCTTGTTTATAATCGATAGTGGACGTCGGGTAAGTTTGGAAAAAACCCATGAGGTAAGTAATAAGCTTTTGCTTTTTGTTAGTGATAATAAAAATTGTAGGTTATTATACTTAACAATTTGGATTTAAAGATGCATACCTATTGGCATTTATGTAGAGCTACCTAGAAACTTTCATGTTAAGTAATTAAACAGACATTTAAAACGTCGTATTTTAATCTTTAACCTTTTTTGTCGTTTCGCTTTCTTCAAATTTCAGAATCAGAAAGGGCAGTGAACAAGTTTTAGAGACTTTCGAGATAGCCTTTAAAAGATTTGGGTTAAGTAAGAAGAGTTGTGGAATTTTTTTTTGTAACTTGAATTTTTGTCTTTGCAGTTTGTTACACAATCAAGACAGGTCCTGGATAGTATGACCTAGTTTATACCCATCTTGATTTTTTAAGCGTTTTTTTCCCCGTAAGTCAGTGATAACACATCTTCAGTTAATATTTATTTACTTAAGGTTTTTTTCTCTTGGAAATTTTTGAGAAATTTGTCAGAAGATAACTGTAGATAGATACATGTGTGCTAAGATTGCACCATAGCCTGAATACCAGATGAGGAGTGCCTCCCAACCCCCCCCCCACTTTTTTAATTAATTGGTGATGGCTATAGGAATAAATTTTTCTAAGTTAAAAGTGTTTGAAGCTGGTGTGTTTATCTGGTGTTTGCAACTTTGTTCATGGAGCTTCTTTCAGAGTTGCAGGATTCCCCCATCACCCTTGAAATACTTAGTCTAACACCAGAGGGGGCAGTCTAAGGAAAGGCAAATCTGCCACTAAGAATCCTGAAGTAAGCCGTGGCTATGGAAAGTTTTTTTCTCCATTAAAATAAATCTGAGCTAAATTCTGTACTTGAGTTGTAGACTTTATAATAAAGAATTTCTTAAGAATTCTTTAATACCCCTTAAGTTACAGAGTTGGGTATGGTTTTTCTCAAAGATTTTGAAGAAAGTCTGTAAGTTAAGGTAATTTATGTGAATTAAAGTTAGATCAAGTATTAGTGACTTTAAAACATGTTTAGATCAGCCGAGGCAATTTTTGGTGTAACACAACTAATATGCAGTTTAACATATGGTTTAAATTTGATGTAAGTTTTTTTTTTCCCCCCCCAGAAAACTTTAGAAACTGTTCCTTTGGAGAGGAAAAAGGTACTCTGCCAGCAGGTCACCTCATATTTAAGAATTTCATTTCCTGTATGCAAAGAGAAAATGTAAATAAAAATTGAAATGGTATTTTCCTTTACAGAGAGAAAAGGAACAGTTTCGTAAACTCTTTATTGGTGGCTTAAGCTTTGAAACTACAGAAGAAAGTTTGAGAAACTACTACGAGCAATGGGGAAAGCTCACAGACTGTGTGGTATGTAAACTGAAAGTCTGCCTGTAGTAGGTTCTAGTAGTTTTGAGTAGGTTCTAGTATGTTGAATCATACAGAAAATGTATAAAAAGGTCTTGGGGGTGGTTCTCTGTGTAACCTGGCTGTGCTGGAGATCAGATTTAGCCTTCAACTCAGAGATCCTCTGCTTCCCAAGTTCTGGGATTAAAGGCATGTGCTACCACAGTCAGCAAAAAAGATTTAATGTTGTCCATAAATACCTTGAAATTAATGCTAACATCTTTTTGGTTTTAAAGGTTATGAGAGATCCTGCAAGCAAAAGATCAAGAGGATTTGGATTTGTAACATTTTCATCCATGGCTGAGGTTGATGCTGCCATGGCTGCAAGGCCTCATTCCATTGATGGCCGGGTAGTTGAGCCGAAACGTGCTGTAGCAAGAGAGGTGAGCAAATAAATAGGTTCAGGGTTTTTCTTGTGTTGTGCTAGCTTTTTGTATATGACTTTCAGGACTAACTTGCTCAAATCTATTATTACCATATATATCTAAAGGAATTTTTGTAATACTGAAGTATAAGTTTGTGATATTAAGGTGATTTAATTTTTATACATTTTCCTGTCAGGATAACTTTCTTACTATCTGTTTTAGGAGTCTGGAAAACCAGGAGCCCATGTGACTGTGAAGAAACTGTTTGTTGGTGGAATTAAAGAGGATACTGAGGAACACCACCTTAGAGATTACTTTGAAGAATATGGGAAAATTGATACTATTGAAATAATTACTGATAGGCAATCTGGCAAGAAAAGAGGCTTTGGCTTTGTTACTTTTGATGACCATGATCCTGTGGATAAGATTGTATGTAAGTGTCTAGGTTTAAGGAGTATGGTGTGTATATAAAATACTAGGTGTGTTAATAGCCCATTAAAATATTCAAGATTGCTTATTAGAATATATTTATAATTCATTTTGTTCCAGTGCAAAAATATCACACCATCAATGGTCACAATGCAGAAGTTAGAAAGGCCTTGTCTAGACAAGAAATGCAGGAAGTCCAAAGTTCTAGGAGTGGACGAGGAGGTAAATTTTTAAGAATTTATGTATTATATGTATATACACATTTGATGGGTTGAATGCTTGCTGCTAATCAAAACATTTATCATAGGAAACTTTGGATTTGGGGATTCTCGTGGTGGCGGTGGCAATTTTGGACCAGGACCAGGAAGCAACTTCAGGGGGGGATCTGGTGAGTATCTTTAAAGGGCACAATTTTTAAATTAGGATGGTTTAATGAGATTCAGGAGATCTTAACTGTGTGTTAGGACCTACTGAGCATGTATGGGACCTGGCATGCTATTAGCCTAATGTTGAATCCCTAGCACCATTACAAAACAAGACATGATAACCTGTAATTCAGTATATATGGGAACAA